CTTGAAATTGAGGAATAACTCCTATACAAGTTTTAAAACACTTCATGGGGGTTTACAAATTTATCATGTCAAAACAGTTTAATTCGGTTTTATTTAACTAAAACAAAACTGTATGGTTTTCAACAATGAGCAAAACCCATACCCTATAGTAAGCTATAAAAGGTCCCGAAATGAAAAATGTAAAAAACTAGAAACCTAACGATCTATAGATAGATAGATAGATAGATACTTTATTCTCTAAAAACTAAATACATGTTTACAGAGAAACATACAATATAAATACAGATACAATAGTCGAGGTTAAACAAATACAGTATGATATTCTAAAAGTACAAAATTATGATGGCATACATGTTTAGTAACATGTATAATGAAAGGTTAAACTCAATAGAAATAAAAAAAATGGAGATGGAGACGCCGACGCCACTATCGACGACGAAATATAGGTTTGTTGTGTCTCACTGCCGCTACATTGATGTCGCAGGCTCGACACAAATCAAAAGACTTGAACTTTATTGTTAACAAATGAAACACTTCAAATCAACTCACACTAAAGTTACAGGGAAACGGGGGGAGGGGGGCTTGGACTAAGCGACAAAGCATCAATACTATAAAATAAGAATTCTCCGATTTTTTTTTTAGCGTAAATGATCATTTGAACTTATACGAATGTCAATCTTTTATTTGTAATCAATTGATTTCCCTGATCTACCTCGCACTAATTGAATTTTATAAACTTTTTGGAATATCTGTTTCACATGTGACGACGGACATGTTCCAGTGGTCGTAACCATAATACCGTCATCTTTTCCTTGAATGTAATCTACCAAATAAAACCAAATCACTGTGTTTGTACTTTCTCGAATAAAACGACGGGTGCCTTTCTGGAGCATCCGAGATCACCCCGATGGATTTATATTACCCAGTCATACCGATCTATTGAATCAGCCAAATGAAACTGTTTTGTATGCCAGCGCAACTGAAAGTTGGGGGCATATTGTTTTTCCCCTGTCCGTCAGTCCGTCTGTCCGTCTGCCCGTCCGTCCGTCTGTCCGTCCCATTATGGGTATATAGTTATTCCGCATAACTCCTCCTACAGTTTGAATCCTAGGAAGTTTTCTCTTTACTGTCTGTTTGTACATATATTGAAGGTGTGCATGTGGTCAGGGTTTTTATTTTTATTATCTTTTGCTCTTTGGGGAGATAATTGAACTTTTTTTTTTCATTTTTGGGGTATAAGCGGTTAAATGAGTTGAGTGCTAGGGCATCACTTTGTCTAGTTTACCTTTTTTTCTCGTGTTGTGCTGTTTCACAACTGTAACAGTCCGATGTAAGGTTAGGATTTAGCGCTCACATACATGTTAAACTCCGCCACGTGCATTTTCTGTATGGACCTGCCCCAAGTCAGGAGCATGAAGTTCAATTGTTGTCATTGTATAAACGTGTGTCATTTTTTTTGTAGATTGTTTATTTATAAATAAGACCATTTGTTTTTTCGTTTGAATTTTTTCACATGGTGCATGGTGGCCTTTTGTAGCTGACTATACGGTGTGTTGAAGGCTGTACGCGGTTGCCTATACATGAATTCTTACATCCACTGCATATAAACTCTGGTAGATAGTTGTCTCATTGTCAATCACACCACATCTAACTTTATTTCAACTTCTATGTTGCGTTTTGTATACTGTAACATTGTTTATCTTTTGTACGCATACCCCGGAGTCCTCTTTTCGGAAGCCCGAGCAAAAGTCCTTGTTCCGCGATAGAAAATTTAATTACGAACTCATATAAGATAGCTCGAATTTCAACTCAAAATCTTAATAAATCTAAATAAGACTTAAATTCGAATCTTACTCAAACTCTACCTCAAAAAGTGACTCAAATTTAATGTTGTAACTAGAACTCTACCTTTAAATGTGACTCAAACTCGAAGTCCAACTCGAAACTCAATGCTAACTAAAACTTTAATTCTAATAATGACTTGAATTCGAAATCGCAGACTAACTCAAAGTTTAACTCAAACAGTAACCCGAACTTTAATTTGAAATCTAATTCGATGGATGGCCACACTCATCCAAGGCACATACAACATGGAAATCTATCTAAAAATAGAACAGGTTTTTCCGAATTAGTCACGTGATTTTACCTCATCAAGTAATGGGATACTTGAACCACATCAAAGAATGACAGAACCACATCAAATAATGAAACAAACACATCATGTAGTGTAAAATCGTCAAATTTTGAAACATCATTACGTAATGTTAAAACCATATAAAGAATAGGCAAATCATCATTACAAAATAACAAAACCACATCATGTAATGAAACAAATACATAACGTTAAGTCACATTCACATCAAGTAATGTTAAAACCACATTGACTAATGACACAACCACATTAAATAATGGTGAAACCACATCGAGTAATGACAAAACCATATTGAGTAATGACAAAACTATATCAAGTCAATACGAAACCATATCGTGTAATATCGAAATATCATTAAGTAATGACTATTCCATATTGAGTTATATCAAAACATCATTACGTAATGTCAAAACCATATTAAGTAAAGACAAAATATCATCAAGTAATAATAAAACAACATAAAGTAATATCAGAGTTCCACATAAGACAGCTGTGGCGTTCCATACCATAATAAGGGATAGGATGTAAGTGTTCATAACTGTATACAGGAATACATACTTAGTTATGTTTGTAACTAATAACAAAATCAATATCAGATTCATCAATATAAATTCTGTATCAACCTATCAAACTAGAAAACTTATCTTCATTGATCACTAAAATAAAGATGCTTTAACCCTTTTTCAGTTAGATATTTTGACTAATTTAAACCCACATGACATGGCATTAATAATTAGCATAAAGAATTATGTCCTGTCAGTTGCATAAAAATTTAAGGCTGTTGGGGGCATACAATTAACTAAATAAATAACAGATCAAGAATTCAGTGACAACTTATCTGGAAAAATTCACATAAGTTCCTCCCTATATTACAACATATAAAAGCATTATATATCAATTTTGTAAGCCCTTGTATTTTCAAGAGTTAGTGTAGTCTTAGTTAATGAGGGTAAAAGTAAAACACTTGAGATTCTGTACGGGGTAAATGTTGATTTATCTTCTATCTGTGTTTTAGATACGAAGGGCCGCTGTTAGTCCTCATTAATTAGAATACTTTTTATCGGGGCTATTCCCCAAGATAAAATTGCTGTCGAGCACCAATATTAAGGGATGATCAGACCTTTTCCTTTACGATTTTGTAATGTTTTTAACTGAAAATGTTACTTTTACAAGAAGTCGTCTCTTCTGTTGTATGATTAAATGATAACGTATAGTGGCTTTTTCGTTATTTTAACCTGAGAGGGACATACGATGAGCTTAGTTTGGGTTCATTCGTGTGGCGAGATTGGCTTGGCCAATCAAAATCTGATAAACAGAGTTAATCCGATGTGTGGTATTAATCATAATATCTTCTACCTTTTAAAAATAGTATGATACAGGTAAGTTTGTCTTCTGGAAATATTCTTAAGGAAATTAAAAGTTCGTACTTAACTATTAACATAATTATTTCCTTGACCACACTTGATAATTCAATTACTGTCCATACAGATATACAGGCCTTCACGTTTTTATTTTCTCGGGGTATTTATAAACATGGTTTAGTTTATATATATATATTCTCAGGTAATCCCTTATCCACCATTTTTACCTGGCTAAATGAAATATCGAATTCTGGGTAATTAACCCGGGTATTCAAACTATTTGCTAACAATGATGATTTTTACGATAGTAAGTTGTTAATTCAAAGGTATATATCAGGATTTTTTTGGAACTAACGACTGGAAGGTTTGTTTTTTTGTTTGTTTAAAAGGATCCTAAAGCTAACAAAGCAAATAAACAACATTTTATCAAGACCTGTACTACATGTAATTTAATCAGGGACTATTATTAGTAGTCTAATATAAAACCGGTAATGACTTAAAATAATCAACGCCATTGTAATATCAATATTTGTTTTTCCGAGTTTGTCATCAGAGATGCTTTTTAGTCATACCATATGCATATACCAAAGTATCAAATCAAATCAAAACACATAATTTTATTAGTGTAAATCAAATATAGGAATGATACCAACTGACATTTACAAAATACAAATTCAAAAATAAGAACTAAACTACAGACATATATTTTCTCATTAATAAGAACAAGTATTTTAGTCAGTATATTAAAAATATACTTTCTGGCTTTAAATGAATGTTCGTATCATACAAATCGTTTTTTCCAGCTACACATATCAGTATCGTACTTTTCAAAAAAGCAAATTACAAGCCTACTGACAACAAAAGTGTTTAATAGTACAAAATGTAGTATACCATAAACAATATGCACTTTTAAATCAACACTTCTTAAAACATTCAACAATGATGTGCATAATAATCATGAACAGATAAAAACAATTAAAAACAATAACCACTTATTTCTAAACGGCTTCAAAAATACGCGTTTAATCAATTCTTGCATTCTGCTAACAGGTCATTCAAGGTTCAAATAAGATGGTTATGTACTGTCTCACCCTTTTGATATACATCAGTGGTTAATAGTTTTTCCTCGTCTGAAGTGAATCATATTTCGTAAACAAGGAGAGTTATTATCATTAAGTGTGGGTACTTGTAGTAACTGGACACGATAGTTATTTGATCTGTTTGCCTTTCAATGGTCGGTAATTACCATTTTGTAAATACACGAATTTGAAGACCTCTGAAAGACGATGAAACTGAAAAAAAAAGAATAAGGATTAAAGTTCCTAATAAACATGACTTGGTATTATTTCAAACGAAACTTAAGTAAACTTTGATGGCAATTTCTGAAACCAAAACGACCCATTATCATTTTCCTCGATATCATCTACTAGTCAATTTTACAAGTAATATTTTGCATTTTCTTCTATATTGCCGTAAGCATTATCCTGGATTAACGTCACTTGTCTCTAAGACTCCAAGATTGATCTTGCTAAGACTCCAAAATTGATCTGATTTAAAGCCAAAATAACCTAGCGCCTCACATGCATTAAACAGTTGGCATGTTTTTGTCAAAATGAACTCATCACATCGTACGATCATAGTTTCAACTCTGGCTCTAATCACTTCCGGAGGACTGAATACATCATTATTTTATCTTATTTGATGGATAGCCAGTAGCCGCACACATGTTTACCGTGAGTTTCCGTTTATATTCATTTATTGTATATGATTAATTATTATTTTATTTGCATGCTCCATAATATTATTCTGGTTCACAATTAATGTAACTTCTTATGCTTAGTTCTGCTACCCAGTTTAACACAGTCATTTGAATAGTTTTGTTTAAGTAACATTTGATCTTTTTAGACCTTTATTTAACATGTTTAAGTTATTTTTTTGGCAAAATGTCATGACACATTGTCATCTGTTCACAGTTTGTGTTTAAATCAGGATAAATGATTATCTAATGCCTGTTGATGGACGACTGTGAAGGGACAGTAAGATGATATAATCTTTATCTAAAATGACATACTCTATAATCTTACAAAGTTTTAAAGACTAAAAGTGTTATCTTAACAAATGGTTATCATGTTACTACCAAACTTCATCTTATCGCATAGATTGTACACGAACACAAAAGCAATTATCTTTAAAAAGTGGTTAAAGCAGTAGGAATCGTGATATATAAATTAATCTTAAGTATAAACATACTGTATGCGTAGGCCAAGGTTAGGGAAATTCCTTTTTCAAGGCCACTGCACATGCACCATCAATATTCAGAACTTATAAAGATATTTGAGTAGATTATACTTCAAAAGAGGACTTAATAACAAATAATCTACAAAGAAAGAAACATCTGTACTCTGAAAATGCAATAAATGTTAAGATAAATGTAAATGATAATATTAAGTATTAACAGTTGGCAGACGTTGATAAATTAACAAAACGATAGACAGAAAACAATACATACATGTAGCATTGAAAAAAATAAAGATTATTAATACTATTTTGACAACATGACTCCTCTATAAAATTATCATTTCAAATATCTTGATTATATATTACATTATAATGTTAGTCACCAATCATACATATGACAAGGATAAGTATGAACAGTTGGCATTTGAACAAGTGTCAGATATATTTTTATACGTTTTAGACTATCATCAGAGTATAATGTATCTATCATACATTCATGGAATAACATACACATATCATATATATTGTTTACTTAAATTGATTTCGCTGGTATTCAAAGTCGTTTGCAGAGATAATAGTTGAACGTAAAATAGAGAAAATAATCATGTATACAAGCAAAAAAAAAAGGGCAAAAAGGGGGGGGGGGTTAGTGAATTGTTTATTTTATCATTTCCCAGTAATATTGGTAACGTTAATGTTATTACACATTCCCCGTCATGATATATTTTATGAGAAAACAAAACATAAATTACCAGTCACTTGATTATTTGATTTTTATTTACTTAATGTCCATGAGCAACTGTAAATGAATATTCACAATCCTTTAATTCTCCCTTAGTCATGTTAGTTAAACTTATGTTATTTGCTTAACTATGCAAAAGGGATGAGACACACATTAAACAAACTTAAAAAGTCTACCCGTAAGCTAAATGTAGCAGTAATTTAATATTTATAGAGCATACATGTAATTCAATACAATAATTCTGATATATAATCAAGACTTCCTCCCGGTAGTCGACAGTTTTTTTGCAGTTTATTTATTGCCATAGACCGTAAGTCACTAGAATTACGTAACCAATACAAGCAACACGTCGGATAGACCACGTCATCCATACACAATTATTTCGTATGTTAAATCATATTGTTTACGGTAGTTGCAAAAAAAAATGATTTGAAAATATTAAAGAATTTTAAGAATTAAACGCATTTCCTAGGGTTTACATTTGGAATTTTTTTCGTGAATGAATAGAAATGAAAGAATATGGGGGTATCCATCCATGACACAAAATCAGTATATGCACAGCAAAAAACACAAAAAAGCAAAGGAACAGCGCCTTTATAGCTGTCCTTCATCTCAAAGTTTTTTTTTAGGATTTCTTATATCAGCATATATCGAACATTGAAAAAGAAGTGGTACCACAACGACAAGATGAATTTGAAATCAGTGCCGACTATGAATTTCTAAATTTTTAAAGGATACTGAGCATCGAAGTTGTGTCAAATTCATTAATGAGTCTACGGTTTCTAAAATGCATACTATTTTTGTACTTCACACCAGGCATGCCGATCCGAAATCCGCGGAGGGGTCCGAATACCGAGGAACAATTACACTTTGTTTAATGCAAGTCGTAAGTAAAATTAGGAACCGATTCCCACGGAGGATTATGCTTCGTGGGAATCGGATCCAGATTTTACCTAGAGGCGACTGTACCTATATGGCTAACATCTTTCGTACTTTGTTTTGTGCAATTTGTAGCCTAAGATACCTTCCGTCGGTGAAGGATAATACAGAACTCTTTTAATCATTTGTACACACAATGAAAAATACAAACGGTGGGTAGGTACTATACAATACGAACAAATTGTGTAATTGCAGTTTTTGAATGAATTGAAAAGGATAGGTGTCTAACAGCCAAACTAATAGACAACTCATCTGAGACGTTTTGAGCAACTAAAGAATATTCTAGTTGTTGCTAAAGTCTTGAGGAATGTTCTTAAGGGGGTGGTCTAGTTTTAGAGTGATGCTCAGCAGCTTGTTTTATAAATTAAATGAATTGGAGAGTGGGGTCTCTGAATTACTGATACCCTACATATGTGTGTCCTTCAGAGGATTTGATATGGTAAAAGAACAAGGGTTATGGGCGTAATGTCAGAAAGCGAAATATATATCGCCACAAATGACATGAGATAATAGGTCAATATTTAATTTTGATTCAGGCATGCAATTTATTTATGATAACTTTTATTTCAATGAAAACATTAATATGATTGTATCATACAATAACAACTCTTTGAACATATACAGAAAAAAGCTAATTAACAAATTTAAAACGTTTCCTTATTTGGGGGAATAACTGAGAAAATTCAGTTGTATAAAAGAATATCCAGAAAATTGAGTATTTTGCTATAGCAAGAAAACAAGTTCGGTTACCCCATCTTTTCTCTTTTTGTGCAGAGAATATTTTATAAGAGCCATCTTTTCATATTTTATTTCAAAATTATATCATTTAATTTTCTTTCTATCATGTTTATTCTTTTTGGCATAAATATAAGGACCCCATTCCTTCGAAATAACAGGACATTTTTCATGAGTAAAAATTTAATTTATATTATTTATCTCAATTTATTAGTTCATTTGCCGAAATTTTTGGAACTATAGATTGACATAAGAGCGTTCTGACTGAAAGTAAGCTCTCTTTTCGTTTGAACGATTTCATATGTAGTCCAAACTTAGGGATCTTTTGCAAAGTATTATTGATTTCTTAGGCGCTTAGTACAACCTGGGAACAGTATATCTCAATATATATGTTCCTGGTACAACAACTGTTTGAGCCGAACTTCAATTTTTAAAATAGTACTGCTATTATACGGCAGACATACCGAAAACACTATTAGAGTTAAAACAATATAGCATGTTAATCAAGATTTTAAATGCCTTGCTTGCAAACTTTGTTTGGTTGTTTGCTCAGACATTGTAATTAAGATTGACACCTAAATTCAAAGGGTAGGTGGAGTAACAGTCTGTTTACTATATAAAAATATTTGATTGGACAATGAATATCATATGGTTTCCAGTCAGGCACTTAAAGGGTATACAAATAAAAAGAATAGTTAGTTAAATGTAAACCAATTTTGAAAACTAATTAAAATGATACAATTTTTACAGTGAAGCAAGATTTGATGGGTTGATTATGAAAAGTTTTCTGCACAAAATTGCTTTATTCTTAATAAAATAGAATAGAATAGAATATACTTTACTCCAAATTAAAGGGCATACAAGGGGCAGCATGAGATTTAACATTACACATAGTAAACAAATACAAAAGAACAATACTGAGGGGAAGAATTACTTGATTGATAGCATTTAATGACACTAAAAAAAAAAAAAAGAAGAAAAGAAATACATATTATTTAACTGTAGAAATAAGAAGATGTGGTATGAGTGCCAATGAGACAACTCTCCATTCAAGTCACAATGTGTAAAACGTTAACAATTATAGGTCAAAGTACGGCCTTCAACACGGAGCCTGGTCTCACACGAAACAGAAAGCTATAAAGGGCCCAAAATGACTAGTGTAAAACAATTCAAACAGGAAAACCAACGGTCTAATCTATATAAAAACTGTGTCTTATATATTATTGTTAACGTCAATAGGAAGGTCAATAGCATTTACCAAGGAATTGTATATTTAAATATACAATTCCTTGCTAGATATAAAGGTAAAAATTTCTTTTCTCTCAATATTGAAGATGAAACATGATCATTTATCATTTATTTGTCTCTGTCATCATGTTTAATATAAATACTTTTATTTTTTTATATTATCAATACAATTTACACGAATAGGTAAAAGAGATATTACTGCATGAGCATTGATTATTTTTTTTAAGTTGTGTGTGGTGTTTTTTAGTTACTTTTGCTTTTTTGTAGAATCGAAAAAAATAAATTTGAATTGTTCACTGTTTCCCCTTCATCTTTCTGCCCATAAAAATGCTACACCCCCCCCAAAAAAAATATAAACTGCAGTGGCGGATCCGGGGGGTCCGGGGTTGGAACCCCCTTTTTTGACGATCAATGCATTTGAATGGGGACATATAGTTGGACCCCCCTTTTATCCTGGGTTGTGAACCCCCCTTTTAAAATGGCTGGATCCGCCCCTGAACTGCTGTAGGCAAACAATTTTTAAAGTTTTGACTGGTTTCGGATTTCTCGCTTCTTTTTTTATCGTAATGACGAAACAATATAGATTTCATTTCTCGCCAAAATATTTAAAGAATTAGATCATCATAAAAATTGAAATGGGAATTGGGAACCATTAATTTTCTAAAAGGAAACTTGTATATTAAATAATTAATAATGTGGCAGGAATATGGTTTCATTTCTTGTTGCATACTTGTCAAATTGTAATGCACTAAGCAAATAAGAGAATGAGTTTTAAAAATTGTGTTACTAATTTTATTTTAAATAAAATACACGAGTTAGTAAATATACAGGTATTGTAATTGTCGAAGAGTGCCTTTATAATATTGATGGTCAGATGCCCTTTATTACTATTACTGCATTGACCCTTATAGCATTGCGAGCCACTGATTTCTCAAACAGTTTTCAACAAAGCGATCTGAAGTTATTTTTTTTGTAGAATATATACAGTAGTTTAAAGTGAAAAATTTCACGTCATTAGCAGAAGCATATTTATTATATGTCTCTGTAATAAGTAACAAGAAATCATATTTCATGTCAACATTATAGTTTAAATTTAAAATGTGACATTAAAACTGCTCATGCTTTACGTTTTTAATTCATTTCAAAATTGGTTAACTTTACCTTTCTTGTACCCTCTTTAGCCCATGCTTCTTTTTATCTTTCAAGTGTCTAACTGGAAACAATTTTGATATTCATTGACCAATCAAACCTTGTATATAGTAAACAGACTGTTACTCCGCCTTCCCATTGAATTCATATGTCAATCTTAATAACAATGCTTGATCAAACAGCCAAACAAAGTTTGCAAGCAAGGCATTTAAACTCTTATAATGAACATGCTATATTATTTTAACTCTAATGCTTGAAATATCAGTAAATTTTACATGACACGGATTTACTGTAAGTTTCGTTTTCAATTTTTACACAAATTTTTCCCTTTTGTTCTAGAATTTAGAACATTTTAAACTTTTAAAACACATCACCTCACCGACACGTTTGCTCACTCGTTTATGAGAAAAACATAAATGATTGCACATGTAGAATTCAGAAAGTATTGGTTTAATGTAAGATTTTTATGAATGCGTGTTGGAAGATCATGTACGTGCTCTTAGCACAACTTATGTTTATTAAATACTGCAACAAAATATTTTCAGGTTTTACATTACATAAATGCCTAAATGGTGAGGACCCAAAGGAAATGGTATATGGCCGATGTTGTACTCAACAGATTGTTAAAATATCACTAAAATGGCTAATCCGACCACGGCCAACAGCCTCAGCTCTGTACGTGGTTGCTGTTGTATGTGTGCTGGGGACAATGTTAATATCACTTTCTCAAATATTCCATGTTCATACGACAATTTCACCACCTGCTCACCACTGGTCAATTCACTTTCTGTCAGACACAGGAATTCATGGCATGAATTATACCAACATCACAGAAAGAAACGAAACAAAATTCATTTGGACACACCCAGAAATAGACATATTACACAAGGTAAGACAAGTTATTAACTTTTACTTCTTTCTAATGCTTACATTATTGTTACTTATATATATATATGATCCCACCAAAACAAAGGTTCTGATATTCAACAAAGCAGGCAGACACATTTGTGAAAAATTTACTTATGAAAATATGTTGATTGATAGTGTTAATAATTATAAATATCTTGGTTTGCACTTTAGTGCATCAGGGTCATTTTCATATGCTCGCTCAGAATGAACTGTATAAAAAGTCCTTGAAGGCTTATTATAAATTGTACAAGAATTTGTTATCACTAAATCCAAGCATAAGTACCAGCTTACATGTATTTGATCATACCATAAAACCAATACTCCTATATGACCTATATGGGTCTGAAATATGGAGAACTTTTAATCCATTCTCAGCAAGATTCAGAAATGGAACTTTACCATTTGATAAAATCTATTATCGCTATTTTACGAATTTTTCCTTTGATCTTGCTGACTGATAATTTCCGTTCTCAGCGGAGTCGAGTGATATGAAAACGGAGTCGAGTGATATGAAAATTATCGCTAGAAACTAAGGGAACACGTGCCGTTGTCAAGGAAATTAACAACGTCTTCATAGGTAAAATAGCGATAAACAGATTATCATTGGTCATCTCAACTCGATTGCTTTTCTCGCTTTCGCCGTACCGGCTCAAGCGAGAAAATCAATCTCGTTGAGATAACTAACGATAATCTATAATTCCAGTTTAAAATGTGAGCGACTACATATCAAATTTTGTAAACTTGTTTTAGGTGTTCATAAAAAATCCACGAATTTTGGAATTTTATCTCAGCTAGGGCGATTCCCATTATATAATGATATGATTAAATCCATGTTAAATTACTGGTATCGCTTGGAAAATCTTGATTCCACATTTTCTCTTCTTAAAGATGCCTATGTAACATCACAAAATCTTTCTCATTCAAAAAAACCATCTTGGTATGGCTCTATGAAGTCAATTCTTGAAATGATCCCAGACATCAATCATATATCTTTACCATTACCAAAAATTAATAGCTTCAAAACTAATATGAAAAAAAAAATAAAATCATATTTTATAGACTTGTGGAACACTGAATTGGTAAAGCATTCAGATGGTAAACTTAGAACTTATGTTACATTTAAATCAGTTTTTGAAGAGAAAAATATCTTGCCATTATAAGGAATTTTGAACAGAGACGAAGCTTAACAAAGCTCAGAATTTCATCACACCACTTAAGAATTGAGTCCGGAAAGTATCAGGGTACTCTCCTAAATGACAGAACTTGTACTCGTTGTAACTCCGGAGATGTGGAGGATGAATATCATCTTCTAATCCATTGTGTTAAATTTACTGATGACCGCATTCATCTATTTCAAGAGATAACTAAAAGTTGCCCCAACTTTTTAACTCTTAACGCAAGAGATAAACTGATATGGCGTATGAACACAGAAGATAAGTCAATTCTCACTGCTGCATGTAAATTTATTTCGAAAAATTGTTAATTATGTGGCTTTCTTGTCTGCTTCAGACACGAGGAGGACTGTCTAAATAACACAGCTCCTTGAGTACCGCCCCTTGGTGTCTGTTGCAGTAGGGGAACCTACACTATTCTCAATACCTATTACTGCAGTATACTTTATTTGCTGTGAACTTTTTTTTTCGCATTTGTGTTTGTTTTTCTGCATCAGATACGAGGAGGATTGTTAGAGCTTTTAAGCTCACAATCCTAGAGCATCGTTCCTTGGTGTCTGTTGCAGCTAAACAATCATTTATATTTATATTTATACATTTCCAACAAAATATTTTAAAATCAAGTGAGAAAAAAAAAGTTTGCCACATCTCTGGAGTAGCAACTCTTGAATACTTTTTATTTAACATATAATACCTGTATGACTTTATTTCAATAGTTGAAGTTTATTATATGAATGTCATGTAAAATACTGTATGTTGTATCAATTATATATGTTATGTGTATATGCCCCCCTGGGGACCTAATTTGGAAAATAAAACTTATCTTATCTTATCATATCTTATCTTATATGATTACCATGACACAATGAAAAAAAAAAACAAAGAGAGATTAAAAATTCCGGAATAAACAATTGAAATACTACAGTGTAAAAGTTTGATAAATTTGAGATATATGTATGGTGCGTCACTTAAATTGTTTTTCTCGAAATGCGAATCGAGATATTATCAATGTGTTATAGCACGGAATAGAAATCAATGCTTCTTTAATCAATTCTTACTTGTCAGAAGTGATGATGTAGTTGTGTTGAATGATAGGATGCAAATCATAAGTCGAGATTAGTTAACTTTGCTCTCGTATAAAAACATATGGAGATTGCTTTATATAAAAATTAGAAGATAATGAGACAACTCTCCACCTGAGACAAAATGACGTAAAAGTTAGCTACTATAGGTCACCGTACGGCATATATTGACGTCAACAAAGAGCAAAATCCAGACCGCATAGCAAGCTATAAAAGGCCCCGAAATGACAAAACAAAAACGAAAAACAAATGTATATGATATACAGCAATAAACGACAACCATGCACTGAATTTCGGTACTTTTGATATGCTTAAGGATGTTCGCTTCTCTGTTTCAAAATAACAAGCTTACTAAAAGACTGTAATAAATTGTTTGAATATAATTAAGGAACTTAAAAAGCAGAAAAAAATGACAGGTACTTGTCCTTGTTTTTATGTCTATTTTCCTATTTATAAAATTCCTTGCCATCAGTTTCTTTCTAGGGAAAAAAGCTTTTTAAAATTTTAATCTTAAGACAATACTTAATATTAATTCAAATTTGTATAATTATTACTAGTACTTCATTATTACTTCAATAGTAAAAAAAAAGAAATAAACATTTTTATGTAATAAATATGATCATAAAAGTCTATGATATCAATTTAAAAAATCATATTTGCATGCGCTTAAAAGCATATCAGTCCGGCATTGTCACCTGCTATTGGCTATTTTCTGCCCTATAGCCGTTGGTTTAGTTCTTATTATTAGGTCTTACAGTCTGTTCCTCAAGCAGTGGCGAAGGAGTGGACTATATTTCCGTACTCCATATATACCTAACAAACAAAATTATTTTTATTTACCTGTTTACGTTATTTTATTTGGCGGCATTTTGTTCAAGGTTATGGTTGTCTTTCTGATATTGTTTTAACCCCTTGTTTTATTAATTTTGTATTTACTTTTGTGTCATAGATCAAATTTATTCGTTCAGTGTATGTTCACTTGTTTTTGTTAATATGTCTTTTGATTGAGTTAAGCCATTTCAATTGATATTTTATAGTGTGTCTTTCTATGTTGTGATGTTACACTATTGTTTCAGGTAGGGTGAAGGTTGGCGCCTTTTAAAACGTTTAAACCCGCTGCATTTGTTTGCATCTGTCCTAAGTCAGGAACCTGATGTTCAGTGGTTGTCGTTTGTTGATGTGGTTCATAAGTGTTTCTCGTTTCTCGTTTTTTATATAGATTATGTCGTTAGTTTTCCTGTTTGAATGGTTTTACGCTAGTCATTTTTGGGGCCCTTTATAGCTTGCTGTTCGGTGTGAACCAAGGCTCCGTGTTGAAGGCCGTACTTTGACCTCTTGGATGGAGAGTTGTCTCATTGGCACTCATACCACATATTCTTATACCTATTTAAAATAATAGATATGTTGATGAACCAGGCGATATATTTTAGTGTGCCAAGACTACGAATTTGTCATTTCATGCATTTGTTTATCATTTTAGTCCTCAGACGAAGATATCAATTATACATTGTGTATGAACATTTATAAATATACATTGTTTTCTCTGTATACATCGATTTCTACGTTTTAGGAACCATTCCAGTTTTTAAAAAAGTACAAAAATCCGTGTTGGCAAGAACCTTTATACACCACGAATGTTTATCAGAACAATAAATACAGCTTACTGTCACCACATGTTCGTAGTACCATTATTCGTTTAATGACAGAATGGAGCACACGACTTGCAAGGGACCAAATACCTCAAAGAATGAGATGTTTGCCGTATTTTTTCATAATTGGACAGCCCAAATGCGGAAGTACTGATTTATTTAGGAGAATTCTACAGCATCCTGATGTAGTTTCTCCTCCAATTAAAGAGCTTCATTGGTGGTCAAGAAACAGAATGGGTAAGGAATTTGTGACCTTAAATAATTAAAGGAAATAACATATCTAAGATGCCAATAGAAGAAGGTTTTCTAGGATTGAAAATTATGCTTTTACATCTGTAAAAATGATATCGTTATTTAAGTGTAAATAGGTAAACTTTTATGTAACATAAATTAAGTTCACACCAGGAGACCTACAATTCTTTTTTTGTAAAATAGCGTTCTAATTCTTTTTAATTATATGCATGTATTATATTAGTGACGTAATATGCACTGTGTGTATATAATCACATCACAAACCGACAAGGCTTGTAATGTAAGTGTTTCGAACTTTGAATAAGTGTGTAAACATTTAAAATCTTGGTATTTGATATGAAGTGTTTGACCTTAATCCTCTAATTGTTAAAGTACACGCCGATTATGTACAATGTATAGCCTTACTGTCCCGTTACTTATCAAATAGGTGGCCTCATGGTAGGGGCCGCCCCACTATTCCGTCGTGGTAGCATGCGCGCTTCAAGTTCGGGGGTTTATTGGTGACCTGGTCCGACAAAAAAAAACCTTTTAAATTTGTATTTGCTGCATCTCCACTTAGTACACGACTATAAGGAGTGAGACCAGTGTTGACGGATCAGCTTGGGTTCGGAATACTAGTATAATGTCGTCCGGGACGTGTTGGCTAGCGCATTAGAATTAGAAATAGACTCACCGTGTCGTGCCGGTCTAGTACAAAGGAGTGTTAATGAACATTTGTTTTACCTGAATACTCGTATTCAAATAACATCTGTCCAAGTAGTTCCACACTGGGTTAATGCCACGTTCACGATGGTATTTTTTATTAACCTTTTGTACTACTATGATATACTATGGTAGTAAGCATTTGTAAAATTACTGTCCACAAAATAAAATGGCCTTTCGAGACTGGATTGTTTATATGTTTACATGTACTGTTTGGTCCATTAATGTAGGTCGTTTTATACATTCGGATACACTTATTATTATTTCGAACATCACTAACGAGAAAAAAACATTTTGGTAAGCCAAACTATCTCCGATATTTCTTGTCACAAACCTTAAGTGTTTAGCAATCAAATATTGAATTGTATAAATTTAAGTCTCCCCTTGGACTATTACACTAACACTAATCTAAGTCGTAGGTCTGCGAGTGTTTTACCAGCACGTAAATGATATTGTTTTAATGACAATACATGTTCAATTTTCATCTGATAAAAGATTTGAAAAAATATGTTCCTTTATAATCCTAGTTCCAAGTGGAAGCAACATTCTGTAATATTATTTCCATTGGAACAACAAATATTAGAGTATTTGTTCCTGATGGAATAAGGATATACAATATTTGATCCAACAGGCACAGATATTATATGGCAATGTTTATAACAAAGTTTCCATGGGATCTTCTGTTAGACAGAACAAATATAAGTTGACACTGTTACCCAAGATCATGATTTTTTTTAAAAAGATATTTAAGGAAAAAAACTTCATTTAGATCTAACAAAATATCCATTGTACATAAATATAAATGAAGGAGATCGATGTCCAATAATCTCAAAAATGAATGCCAGGTCGTAGTTGTCTCGTTCGGCGTTTAGTTTTGCCCTTTATATCCACTATAAACTGATAATACTTTGGTTCGTTGAAGATTTTTGTAATATTTCTTGAACAGGTAAAAGACTTAACTATACCGATATCATACCCCTGTCAGACTATATAGACATGTTTGATCATGCAGCAGTTCAGATAGAGAGAAGAGGGGACAAAGTCAAACATCAGATTGTCACAGGTACTAATACATGTTCTCTAATTAAAAAAAGATTAGGTTGTTTCATGACCTCTGCAATGTTTTGGCCATTTGTTCTTTTTTTAAATTTTACAAATATATTATTCTAACTCATGTTTAGGGGAACACAAGCTAGTACTTCTGCATTAATATATAAATAAAATTGAGAATGGAAATGGGGAATGTTACGAAACAACAACCCGACCAACGAGCAGAAAACAACCGAAGGCCACCAATGGGTCTTCAACACAGCGAGAAAATCCCGCACCCGGAGTCGGGCTTCAGCTAGCCCCTAAACAAAATTTTTTTTACTGGTTTTAATGAAAATGGACGTCATTCATTTTCACACATGCAAAACTAAATACGATGTGTTCCCATTAACTATGTATTAGTTTTGATAAACAAATATCAATTAGAGAGTAATCGTTGTATAATTCCAACTTATTTATTCAGTGATTAATATTTGTTTTTAAAAATTTTAAACGCACAATCATTATTACTTACATGATGGCTCCGTCCCAATATAATGTTGTATATATTTTACTGTAAAACATGTCCATGTCTCAATGATTTAGGTGAAGCCAGTGTTTCAGTGATGTGGGAAAATGATGATTGGTGGCATTTACCTGAAAATGTAGGACAAGATGAACCACTGTACACAAACGCAGATTATATGAAACACTTTCTTCCTAATTTGAAAGTTATAATTATTTTGAGAAACCCATCAGAAAGGTATGCATTGAGTTAGCCTAATTATACCCATTCCTAGAATGAGGGCTACATTGGATTCACCTTGTTTGAAGTTCGTCCAACAAATTTTTTCATTACACTCTTCATAATTTGTTATTACTGATTACTGATTCCTTTCCCAACTTTGGCTATACTTTTTGTCCTTTTTGATTTTATCAGCCCTTCAATTTTTTAATTAGTTTTGGATTTTCAAATATTTTGGCCTCGAGCATCACTGAAGAGAGATTATTTGGTGAAACACGCATCTGGTACAGTAAAATTGGTACCGTTAATGTTATTCACAGGTACTTCTGAATAGATGTACTAGTACTTCATATTTAATCAGCAGCTTCACAGTGGTGAGTTGTAACGCGAAAGCGCTTGTCGGATCGTTCAAATACTTACTTTGAATTTTTAACCACAGTATATTGATAAACTTAATGTTTTCGTCATACATTTTCCAAAAATTTACTGAACAGAATAACTATATCAGTTATCAGCTTGACAGTGATGACCTGTAACGTCTACGCATTTTTTTGGATCTGTCAGACACCTACATATAAATAAGAAGATGTGGTATGAGAGCTAATGAGACAATTCTCCATCCAAGTCACAATGTGTAAAAGGTAAACAATTATAGGTCAAAGTACGGCATTCAACACGGAGCCTTGGCTCATACCGAACAGCAAGCTATATAGTGCCCCAAAATGACTAGTGTAAAACAATTCAAACAGGAGCAGCCTGTTTTCAGATGGTTTGAAATGGTTCGTGGGGTTTGCTTAGAACGACAGTACGTACAACTTCTTGTTCATTCTACAGACAAGAATAAAAGAGTACTGGTTTGCTTCGTTTTACATAGTGAGACAATAGTGAACCTTTATATAAATTATCTGGAAAAGATAGTTTTCCAGATCCTGCAATAGATTAATTTTTTTTTTATACATTACATTTTCAGGAGAATGATCGATAAACAACGTATTACACAAAGACTTATAAAAATTACTTGAAGGGATAACTTTAGTCTGAGAGCTCGAAAAGAGTTGACGGGGTACATAAAAAGATGGTCAACTGAACAACTCACGTCCAGTTCTGCAGATAATCGGACGTCAATTTGGATAATTGACGGAAATTGAGGCTTAAAATCCGTTGTCCCATGTTATGTTAAAGGACTCGTTTTTAACAGAGAATCTTACAATTAATTCAACAGTGAAGGATCTGTGGTTGGCCTCCTGCAAGGATACATTTCTCCCCCTACCCTAAATGCCTTGTTTCTTCCAGAAGTAGTTCACATTTCCTGCCCATCACCCTTGTTGATCCTCTTTGCAGAGAACCTATGTTTTGTTTCATTGTTTAATTGGTTCTTTTCCTGAATATGCATAACATATTTGCTAGGAGTTGAACAAACGGCCATCATTCAAATAATACTCTTGAAATTATATTGTTTCATTTAATGAATGAAAAATTAATTGATTAATTTTATCATTTTTAAATATTTTATTTTTTCCAGGTTGTTTTCTGATTACCTATACTTTAATCCCACAGCTAATAAGTCGTTAGAAGATTTCCACAAGAAGGTTAACTTTTCGGTGCAGCTTTATGAAAATTGTTTTAATAACCATTCCATACGCCATTGTCTTTATAACTACACAATAGGCATGGCATCGCAGGTAAGTTCAACTTTTCAGAGATATTTAGCTAAATATTTGGAGGTACATCGATAATATATTGCTATAAATTTAATGTCAATTAATAAATGCACATTGTGTTATGGATAATCTCTGTTCTCCTTTGCAAAATATCTGAAACAAACTGTGGACTTTATAATTTTACTTTTTGTGTTAGATACATCAAGTTATGCATGCACTTCAAAACCCCAGTAAAAAAAACTTAAAATATTTTCTTTGGGGAGAAGGAGAAATGTAAATGTGTTTCTATTGAATGTGTTAAATTTTACTAAAGCAGTACCTGCTGCTCTGTCAAAACGTATGGGAAGTTCACATCTAAGGGAAATGAATCTACTGCTTTAAGGGAAAAGAAAATAGTATAACGATGAATATTTTTTTCTGGAACAGGTACGACTTAGGATAGGAGTTTATAGCGTCTATTTAAAGGACTGGTTGAAATTATATCCACGAGATCAGTTTCTGGTTCTTACTTTGAATGAGTACTCTGGAAAAATGCTAAAAACCATGAAGAAAGTATTCAAGTTTCTGAAACTCCGTAAGTGGTGTATACACTATAAATCGGGTTAAATACCACCATGCAGATAATCACAATTTAAAGGTTAACTAAGAATAGATCAATTATGCGTATTTAATTTCCGTTTAAAAATTTTACTTTTTTTCAACCGATAAAAGAACTGCAAAATTGCCATGTTTTTGTCTTTATTACTAGTATTTACATACTAGTAAAAGCAGCAACCAGCTTTTACCAATAAGGTAGTTCGGATTATAATAAGATATCTTCATCTGAGGTGTTGATTTGACTCTAAAACAAATACATCAAACTAATAAAAAAGTATATATGTAAAAATAATGTTTGACCTAAAATTTGTTTCTACAAAAACTGTCATTAAGCCAATACTATTGTTGAAGTATGATAATTATGGCATGTTTATGATATCAGTCAGTATGTTTTGTTAACATGTATCCAAATGATATATTCATGTTCATTTTTCAATGACAACCAACATTATGTATGAAAAAAATCTGAATTCGTTTTGTTTATTTTGTTTATTTAATGTTTGAATATAAAAACTCAACAAATATACCAGGCTTATAATTTGGTACACCAGATGTGCGTTTCGTCTGCATAAATGTCGTCATTGGCCGCTCGAATCAAAACATTAAGAAGGCCAATCAAGTACGAAATTGAAGGGCATTAAAAACTGAAAATTCCAAACAGTTGTGCCAAATACGGCAATTTATGCCTAAAGGTAGATAGCTTTAATGTCTTATTAAAGATAATATGAGACCTCCTCTTCCAAAGCGTCAACATGATCTGTTAGAATTACATTTATGACATACTTACAAAATTTACTATAACCAGGTAGATCAATATTGTTTCCAACGGTTAATGTTCGTGCTACGACAATAAATCAGGTACAGAAACATTGAACATTTAAATTTTAAGACAATTACAGTTTCCATTTTGACGGTTCAAATTACGTTGGTGGCGTTCATCGGCAAAACAAATCTTAAATCCTAGCTGGAGTATAAGTATTGGTATGTGGAGCGAGTGTCCAAGTCGGAGACTTCACATTTGAAAATAAAGAAACAGCAACTCTTTTAACAAAATATTTCACAAATACAAATATCCATAACTCATGACCGTTTCAGTATTATTGTATTGTAAGGTTTTTTGTGTAGAGTCGCTGGACATTTCTTGAGCAAATAAGGCATTGGGTGTATTTCTATATTATTACATTTTATAACATTATCTTTTTTTCTATTTTTTTTTGTTATGTTTATTCAAGCAATTCCTGATATATAAATACCTAATATTATCTTAATAGGGCCTCTTTCGAAAGAACAATATATAGCAATGAAAAAGCTGAGAAGGCAGAATAAAAGAAAATATAAAGATACAAAAGTCGGAGCCATGATGAACAAAACCAAACAAATGCTTGAGACATTTTATGGACAGTTTGATAATGAATTATCAGAAATCCTTGGCTATGAGTTTTCCTGGGAAAGTATGGAAGAGCATAATAACAGTTACGTCAAAAATGCTCCTGTTGTTGATGAAAATGATTATTTTTGATCAAATTATGCCTCAGCACATAACATAAAAACAAATTAAGTTTTGATGAAAGATCATACTAACAGTTGCGTTAAAAATTCTCCTATAAATGATGATAATGACGATTTTGATCAAATTATGCTTTAGAACATAAAACAAAAACAAACAAGCTACTTACGTACAAAATTATAATGTAATCATCTTAATGCAAGGGATGCTCCTACAATATATATTTCTGAAATATGTTGGATCAGTTTCATATTTTAAGGTTTTAATGCCGAATTATTATCTTTGGTTGTTTTTATGTGTCCGCTGCTGTTGAAATTATGTATACAGACCAATAACAACTCAAGGAATCTGTAAACGTTTGAACAGCCACTGTTGGTACTGTTCCGTCTTCAGTTAAACTAAACTAGTGCTTACAATCCTAGCCACTGTCAGTATTGTTATTTTTCATTGTCATTAAAATATTGCTTCAAAAAATCTACTGGCCATGACTTTACTAATAAGATCTCTTCAACTCTTTATGGGATGCAAATTATATATATATATATATATATATGTGAAGAAATACTCATTTTAAATATAATTTCACTTTTATTGTTTTTATGAAAAACCTTTATACTGTGTATAAATGCTGACTTTCAGATATTAATTTGTGTATATTATATTGTACAATGTAAGTTAATGTGGACATTAAATGTCTATTATAAATGTTTGATAATGCAGTGCATTTAACCATAATAAAACATATGAAAACTGAAAAAGGATATATTTTGTTATAAAAAACAAGTACAAAATTTCGGCAAGTTGTTGTCTCTTTCAGACAAGTAAAATTTTAGGGCATGTTGTTTTAAAAAAAAACTAATGTCTACCCTGCGCAATGCCAATTTTGAGCTTTTGCTTCTTATCTGAAAATGCAAGATGACCGTCACCGTGGAACACAGATTAATATAGAACACTAATGAAAGACAAAGAAATAGCTCAAAAAATCTACTAATACACAAACTCAGTGATGATAACACGGTCAAACATACTAACACAAATTTAACAATTACTATTCACACTGATCTGTGTCAACACTTGAATGTCCCAATAAGCAACTGGATTTCAAACTTTCTCAAAATTGAAAGAAATAACTGCAACTGACAAGAACTTGGGTATTATAAAAACCAAAAGCAATATTTAAGTGTACAGAATAATTTGAAATGAGCGAGTTGTTAACTTCTATGTCATTTGGTCTCTGGTGGAGAGTTAATATAAAAAGATATTGGATATATCCCAATGACACTAAAAACCAAAAATATATCAGATGACATCAACTTCCGGTCTAAAACAACAGACAAGTGTCTATATAAGAGACAAAATGACAAACTCTCAATCAAAGAGAGCCTTGGTAATATAGCTCTTCAAGTGTTTCGGTTCTTGTACATCCTTGGCTTTCAAATATTCGGCTTTTAGCGTTCCTGATAAAGGTAAATCCAGAAAAACGCTTCGGACGGATAAAATTAAAGGTGGTGTTTTCATTTTTTTTAAATAAGTTGTGAATGAATTAAGCAGAGACTATCAAAAGACCTGTCATCTACACAAAATTCTGCAATTAACTGAAATTATTAAGATAAAACAAAGACAATCACCGACAAGATTCCTGACTGGGACAGACACTTGAGCATGTGGGGAGTTAACTATGTTGTTTTTGAAAAATCAACCGTCCCCCTTGAACAGTTAACGAAAATTACCCAAATTAAGGCGACAGTAGTTTACCAATGTTCAAATCTATTAAGTATATTAGGAAGAGACAAATCTAGATAACAAATAAAAACTGATGGAATCTCATGAACTCCTCAAGTAGCGAGGCCTTGTGAGTTGACAGGGTAAGCATCTCCTGCTGTGCATGCTCAAGTTTTTCATCTTTGATCACAAGTAGTACTTTTTAAATGAACGGGACCTGGCTGTTCTGATAATACCCCGTTTGATCATATAGCTCTTGACATTTAGAAATATTTATACGTCCTAGGCTTTCGATTTTTTTTTCTGAGCATGCATTCCTGATGAAGGTAAATCAAGAAAAGTTCCTAAAACACAGCAAATTTATAAATCACTTTCATTCATCACCAAATTAGTTACTTTACTAATGAGTAAAATAAATATAGTTCTATACGATATAAAATCAATCCTTAAATATCAGATTAAATATAAGACATGTAAAAGGGGTACATCTTGGATCACAAACGTTAAATTTACATTTTAATAGAGTACATCTTAGATCAAAAACGTTATATTTACATTTAAATAGAGTGCATCTTGGATCAAAAAAGTTATATTTACATTTCAATAGAGCACATGCTTGATCACACACGTCCTATTGGCATATAAAATAAGTGCACCAAAGATCAAAAACATCAGATTAATATGTAAACGGGGTGCGGTAGATCCTAAACGTCAGACATACATTTAGAAGGGCTTCACTAATAAAAATTGCAAATGATGGAAACGATCATGTAAATGAGTTTTATCAACAAATTAAATATTTAGATAATGAGTAGCACAAAATAAGTTATACAGTCACAGACATTAAGACAATTACTAGGAACACATGGTTGAGATACTGATTTCTTTGTAAAAATACATGTTATAAATATGGATATATCTGGTTGAAACGATGATATTATGGTAAATAGTTAGATAACATTGAGCTAAGGTGGTGATATACGACACTGTTATGTGTATTTCGAGAAAACATCGTCAACTGATGCAAAGCCGAACGAGCTATCAGCTATTTTTTCTTAATTCATTATACTGAATGTTCAGTTTTCACCGTTTTTTAATCTTTTTTTTTTGGTTTTGTCAATTTTTATTATTAATACGACATGTTATCATTTAAAATGATATACTTGTTGAATATTGAATATTTTATTTGCAAAAGCATACAGAACATGCTATGGCAATACATAATATATACACAATGTGACAAAAGACTGATAACAGAGAACAATACAATAATAACATAACTAACCAATAATATCAGATCTAGCTTTCCATGCATTCTTTAAATAGTTACAGAGCTTAATTGTAAGCGATCTAGAATTAGCTTTCAACAAACAAGATAGTTCAAAAATATTAGGCCATGAACAATAATAGCGAGGCAGAAAAAAAATTCTAATTGCCCTATATGCTGGACATACCAATACAAAATGGAATTCATTCTCAACACATTGCATTTTACAACATACACATAAACGCATTTCTCTTGGTATATCAGAGAAGCGACCAACTTCAACATTTAGTTTCAAAGTACCACTTCGTAGTTTCGTAAGAATGTGAACATTATTAATGTAGCTTACATAATTCTCAAGACAAAAATCAAACTTTATACTTCTATATACACTTAATTTTTCACAGTCACATATATCTGCTGACCATTTTTGTAGATATTGGTCTTTAATGCGTGTCTTTATAACATCAAACGATATATTAATATTATTTTGGTCAATCCAAATATGATTCATTCCAAGACTAAATAAAAAATCACGCACATTAGACGCCCAATTAATTTTACCTTGATTTGCATCGTCATATAAAATTTTATATACATCATATACAAAAGCTGGCTTATATATAAAAATACGTAACCAATACTTTAAGATTAATTGTTTTCTCAAAACATACATAGGTAGATGACCAAGCTCGCCACACAGAAAACTAATAGGAGCACGTTTACCTAATTTTAAAACAAACCTACAAAAACGATTATGAATAATCTCTATGTCGTTGGCGCGGTGAAAACCCCATATTTCGGAAGAATAGTTCAGTACTGATCCAACCATACTGTCGTAAAGAAGACATTGTTGATATGTAAAAATGTAGATGTTATTCAAACAATTTAAGAGTGACGAGAGAGCTCTTGATCCTTATTGGGACAGTCTTTTTTGTGTGTGTAAGAATTTCCCGTTAAAGTGAAGCAACATTCCAAGGTAAACGTAGGAATTTACGATTTGAAGTTCTTGGTTATTATATATTGTTGAGCCATCTGTTAACGTGGCATAAGCTATGAGATATAAAATAAATAAAATATGATTTTTGTTTTGTTCATCATTAATGAAAGTGAAATAGTGAAATAATAATTCGCTTTTAGCAGCCAAGTTGGTTCAATTTTGCCAAAATAAGCTAAGAAACATTGCTGATGAATTGTTAACTTGTATTCTTCACAAGGAACACACAAACCCAAAACTTCTAAAAACAAAGGATGTATGAATACTTGAATACGTTAATCGTTTTGTTTAAATCACAATAGCAATTTAATTAAAATATAGAACGCATCAGAGATTATGGAGATAACGAAATCAGAGTTCTATATTCGAATTAGATTGCTCATAATGGTTGTCTTAAATCTTTAAAGAAATCGACTTTTTAAATTACGGACCGCATAGAGTCCTCGAAATGAACTGTGATTCAAACAGTCATTTTGGTGACGCCTATCAGCTGTAGTGACACTTTGGGCTGATATTTTACGTCGTCGTCCTCCGTATCACACTTTGTTAATCCGCAAATATTTGAATACAGTTAGAGAAAATTCAACCAAACCTGTATATATTCTTTCACAGGACATAAAGTTGTGTCCCTTCTCTTCTATTTTTTGATCTGAGTGATTTTTGGATTCCCGATATCAAAACATGGACTAAAGCATTTTCTATTTATATATCAGTTTCAGTAATCTGCAACTTCTTGAAAACGGCTTAATGAAGTTGCATTTTAATTTTTGGTATAGTGTAGTTGATTTTGAGGGTTTCCTGTGCCTTTACATGTGTTATGTCATTGTTACATATGACGCATCGAATATCAATCCACATTTTTGCAGGCGACACATGTCTTACTTGGATATGACCAACATCTTAGTAGTATTATCAGTTGAAATAGAAACAGACGGTGATTTTAATATACCGTACAAATGAAGCAAAATAAATATTCGTATTCCTGTTACTTGTTGGCTATTTGCATGTGAAAAAAAGTAGGAAGAGGTTAACAATTCGGAAATAAACGATTCGGTTTGGAACATTCGAGTCTATCGGATTTTTTTTTAATATAAAGTAAAAGTTAAAATAGACAAACAGTAGGTTTGAACTTCTTTATTCAATTTGTACCCCTTTCTTCAATATCATTATTTGCATTTCAGACTTTTCAATATAACAATTTATGCATATATTTCCATCTGTCTATGAAGTAAAACAACCTTGATACAGTGGTGTACATTTCAAAATAAATTCAAATAAAACATATTCTAGTTACGTAATGTTTTGGTATTAATATAATGAATACAATGTTTTAGAAACCATTCAATTTTTATTTAAAGCTACAAGAATCCATGTTTGAATGAACCCTTATATACCACACATGTATATCAGAATAATAGATACAGCTCACTGTCTCTAAATGTTCGAAGCACCATGATTCGTTGAATGATAGAACGGAGCACACGACTGGCAAGGGGCCAGATTCTTTAAAGATTGTGATGTCTACCATATTTCTTAATAATTGGACAACCAAAGTGTGGAAGTACTGATTTGTTCAGTAGAGTTCTACAGCACCCTGATGTTGTTCCTCCTCCAATTAAAGAGTTTCATTGATGGTTCAGGAAAAGATTTGGTAAGGAACTTGTTATCTAATATTGGACCTTAAATAGCTACAAATTATTCGCCATATAGGATGCCATTAAAACAACATTAATGGAGGGATGAAAATTATGTTTTATATCTGTAAAAAATCTCAC